CTCCCTATAGTAGTGGCGTATGAATGCATATGTGGCCTGTACAATGACTTGCGGTGGCCAGCTGATGTAAGAATCAGTGCTTTTATCCTCCCAGACGAGTTTGGTACCAATTAACCGATTAACTGCCTCTCAACGCATTATACCCCGTGATTGTTTAGAAGAAGACCGGAAACTGTTTTTTTCGCATCCTCAAGTGGTGAGCATTTCATGTATTACGGTATCAACACAACAGTACGGAATACTGGCTCGATTGTCATCTAGCGTTCATTGACGCTATTTAAAAAGCTTTTGAAACATGGCTTTTCAGCTACAAATATGGAATGAACTGCAAAAGACGGAAAGCAAACAGGCGGATCCCGCATACATGACACCAGCTTATCGTCCTCTGAAGGCGCTGAATGGACGGCTACTTCGGACAAATATCAACGTCAACTATAGAGTGCGTTTTTGATCAGAAAACTTCAAATATCAGCTGTTTTGTAATGCCGTGCCGGCGCTAATTAAGAAAAAACCTACTGTCACCATTCTTTGCGCCAATGAATCTCCTGATCTCGATCTATTTTCAGCAAACCTCATCACCAACATGCTCGTCCAACATATACACAGAAATGGGATATCGATCAAATCCTGCAAGAGCACGGCACAATCAATCGATAACAAAACGGAATGCTCCAAAGTACCTGGATCGTGAAGTGTTCGAGCTTGAAAATATTGAAACCGAAGCGATATCTAATGCGTCATGACACTGATTTTTTACCAAACGTTTTGGAATTACGTCCAAATTCGATTGCCACCTTTTGCAGTATTTGCCTTTTAAGCGGGCTTACAAAACACCTTGGGCATTTATGTAGAAAAGTCCATCTGCTCATGGAAAATCTTTGAAAAGAATTTCAAGCTCGTTGTGACGGGACCTGTAAAAAATTGGGAAGTGGCTCTTTTTTTAAAGGAAAACTAGGGGCCGAGTGTTACTTTTGAGGAGTGATGTATCGCTCTCACTCCGTCACACTGTTTTCACTTGATCTAAGTTTGTATGTATGACATCCCTGCTGAAGCATCTCCACTTGAAGCCGCTCCCGGTGCCTACAGACGTACTCAATTTTAGATGTGTATGTTACACTTCTGACTATTCATTAAAATGCAAATTGATACTTAACTGAATACCTACTGCGTGTGTATTAAAAACAGCAATACCTGTGTGACTCAAACCCTGGCCTATACAACATGCAGAAAACATTTGGCCAAGGCTTTCACGAGTCGAGATGTTTTTGATTAATAGCCCTATTTCTTCAAATGCTGTCGAACTCTTCAAAACCAGATCCGACTTTTTCTGTGCCCGTGAGTCAGAGATTTTGGAAGGGTGGCTGCCAGGTTTCTCCTGAAGTTGAGAGCAACATTTCACCATACACTCTAAGAAGACAGCAGTGAAGTGAACTCTCGATCCATGTGTATTATGTATTATGTATTATGTGTTCTAATATTTGACGGGTGTATTTGTATGTTACTATCTATGAATGTGCGGATCTTATTATCTATGACTTTGCAGAAATTGCTGCATATAGTTTCAATAAAGAAATTAATGGTTTTCAAAGATTATTGTTGATTGATAAAAATCAAAGGCGTCTGAGAAGAACGGTTTCGAAGGCTTAGCATGAGCTGTGATTTTGATGCCCTGTAGTAATGTGTGTCGTACAGTTCGTAAAATGTTTTTTTTTGTGATCACAGTAGAACTCTTGAGACTAACAACTTCATGAAACTAGTAACAGCAATTAATGAGTGAGAATACGATGAGAAAAGATCGAATAGTTGGTGAGGTAGTGGAGCTGGGTGGCGAGTGTAGTGAAGCTGACGACGAGCGGCGGTGGCGTCACGACGGCGACAGTAGGATCCGAAGTAGAGAACCCCTACTTGTGCTTTTCTCGCCCTTTTATACGGTAGTTCCTACGCAATCCTTGCCGATGGCACGGTAGGTGGTCAGAATAGGACCACCCACCGTGATCGCGGAGCAGTCACCTTTGACCAACCTTTTTGACATGCAGGGGGTGAAAAAGAACATCGTGGCTCCACCCCACAATACCGTAACAGCTTATAACTCTTGCATCTTGTGGGTGGCGGCCCTGATCTTGTCTCGCAATCTGCTCTGCGCCTCTTTCCGGTGTTTTCGATTGACACCATGAAGCCCATTAGAGCTTCCCTTCGGGAGGGCCGGCGAACCTTTCTCCCTCCGTTCTTGCACGCGAAAAGGCGCCAACCGAAGTTCTTCCAGTTTCGACATGGGTTCCAATCGTCGCGAATGCGAGGATCGCTCCCAGGAACCATGGATGCGTCGGCGCCTGCGGGTATTTGTCGCTATAACCCCGCGTGCTGTACCCGTGATAGTGCGGGAACGCACGATGCACTCATGGCCACCCGGGGCACAAAGTTCACAAGTCAGTAGATTTCTTCGATCGTTCCGAATCGTCGTGCTGGCAGCAGACCCGCGGGACTGAAGCCCTTAGAACTCCTCTACTCAAATGGTTGTGTCGGATACCCCATTATGACGACTATTCCATAATATATGCTGCTTATTCCAAGACGGTGCTGGTCGAGCGGTTGGTCGGTGGAAGCGACCCGAAGTGAGTAGTCAATTTCATTATTAACCCTTTCGAGTGTTAATACATAGTTTGAGAATGAAAGAGTATAATAGAGCGGAAACTTTCCTCGTGCGC